GACTGTACAAAAACAAACAGATATAACTTATTAATTTGTGTAAATTTTAAATCGATAATGTGATTGATTTTTGATGAAACATTTTTTTTTTWAAACGATCGTCCCGATCTTTAATTGTTTTTGCATACCTCTAGATATCTTGCAAATGCTGGTTTTGAATTGCAAGTCGATTTGATAGCCTCTTTAGCTTGTTTCCAGTTATTTATGAACGATGTATATGAATCTATCACAGGCTTTTTTGAAAACTGTATAGAAGAAAAAATCATACAAAATAAATTTCATACCAGTCATATTTCAAACTTTTCTCCCAACAAACCATTTCTAATAAGATGTCGCCGATTCTCTGATGTGCGTCCCAAATTTCGAGACGTTTATGTAGATCTTTTAGGAATTGTTCGTGCTCCATTAAAATGTTTGGTATCTAAGGTCAGAGATAGTACATTATATTAATATGTATAAATGAGCATATGATAGTGAAATCTATTTATTTACCTGGTAAAATATCTCGTCAACCACTGACGGTTCAATTAGTACAGAGTTTTCGACACTTTTCAATGGCAACAGATATTTCTAAAATAAAATATATACATCATTAAAACTGTAATATAAAAAAAAATATAATCTTGATTCAATTTATAGATATTTAAGTATGAAAAATTTCCTAAACTAATATACCTATACAATATTGTGTAATTACAACACAAACTGGAAATTGTTATATTATGAAAAAACGCTGCTGAAATTAAAAACAAATTATGTAAGGTAAAAAATAGTGATGGGTAACAATATTGATAGTTCGATACGGTCAGAAAAATTATCCTCTAAATTGTACTACTAAGAAAATGTACCCATTAATACGTTCGCTATCTGTGTGACTGTGTTGTGCGTGGGTCAGAAAGAGAAAACAATATTGCGCGGAGCTGCAGACACTCTATTGTCTCTATTAATAATTATATGATGTGTGAGTATTTTATATTTTTTGTGTTCTACCATACTTTTTTTAATAGATTAATTGCTTCAATCTTCCACTTTAATGAGGTTTACTGATAGGAAATTTGATCTAGTTTGTATTTTGTKGGTCAAAAGTARAACTTTCAAGTGCATTTCATATGTTAACAAATACAAAYAGATAAAAATACTTGAATATTTAATATTTATGCAATACCAGTTTAAAAAAAAGTTTGATTTTAGCACCAAATATTTGTGTTACTACATAGTATTTGCTAGAYATGATGMTATTTAATTTGTCAAAATATATTTTAGATGTTTTTAAGCTACKCAACACTGCATTAAAGACATTTKAAATGTTTAACTTGTTTCGATTTATGCTGATAAAAATTTGAAATTTAAATGTAAGTTTCATTACGTTATGTATTTTGTTCTTTTATCATTAAAAATGCTGAAAATACAATTTGGRAATATAATATTATTATTAATTTACTAAAAACCTGTTTACACTATTTTAAGGTACACAGGACTAGCAAAAACTATAGTTCAGCCTACTACAGAATTAAAAATATATTCGAATGACATAAATACAGTGTCATACATTTTATACGGTTGTAAAGAAATAAGACTCTATTCAACTTTTAAAATATAATTTATTTGACGTTTTGAAGATTTTTTTCTGTTTTTGAACACCACATGAGGGCCAGCCACTCTTGCATTATTATTTCGTATCATCTCATCTCCCCCCATTTACTTGTTAATTTTTATTATTTATGTTAAACTATTGTACAAATATTAATATTACGATAATATAAATTCAAGATTTTAAAGTTAAAAAAAAAATCACATTCTCAATAAAAGTTATGTTTTGTAAAAATTAATTCATATATTAATTTATTTGATTAAATACGAAATACCTAATATAGACTATAAAAACTGATTATCGTTTTTCACTGGTACAGATAACATTACAGATTAAAATAGTTTATGTAATCGCTACACACATAGAAGTTGAATTTAAATTTTACAGATGTAGGTCAAGTTCGACGATGTGATCACATTAATGTCTGGCCAAAGGAGATAAATCAATCTTTTGTTTTCAGAAGTTTAGACCGTTGAAAAAATAGACGAATATTCAATATGTGATCCTTCAGTAACTATGACACTGTCAAAAGCATTGTCTAAAATATAATATTTTCTACAAGARTGAAAACTTTACTGAATATATAACATATACTTTCAAATAGAAATAATTAAAGTTTATGCATGTTAATGAATTTGATATCTTATCTCAGACAATCATTAATTTCAATGTTTATCGTGGACTAGATGATCTAATGAGATGAATGATATCATAATATGAATGTATGGTTAAATATAATTTTATGTTAATTATTATTTATTATATAGTGGGCATGATTAATTTGCAAGGAAGCTTTTACAATATTTTACATACCACGATGCAAAGTTAGTCAGCAAGTTATCGCTTTTATGTCTTAYTATGTACAATTCAAAAATTTTCAAAATCATTTGGTTATTACAATAGTTATAATTATCAAGTTTTCAAAATTWTTCAAAAATGTAGATCGTGGTTGGTTTATTATTGATCGACATGACGTACAGCAGTACAACTGTACAGGCATAGGTCTGGTTTTTCAYCCAATAAATAATCATCAAACATTTGCGGTAAAAATCGTGAATAAAAATCGTGCAGCGTTGCCAAAATATTGATACTTAAACAATGCATATTTTTATTTTTACGCTGTTCTAACGACTAGTATAGAAATTTTTCAATACATAATATTATGTAACACATAAACACAATGGAAGTCAATAATAGCACCAGCTGGCTCTATAAGATGGTGTATAGATCTTATATACAATGTATTGAATTTGGGCGTACGCGCGACTTGTCTCAGATTTATGAAACAAAATAGTTTTAGTTGAGATTTAAGAGTATCTTCTTACATTCGATTAAATTAGTTTCACGAGTGTATTAAATAAAAAGTTAACATGTCAGACWAGAAACCTGTAGACTATTCTACAGCTTGTGCTATTTGTACGTCTACCTATTAATTTCGTTGAATGTCATAATATATTGTTGGAATACAATTCGTTTGAGTGCTAGTTCGTTTTTTTAATATAGTTACCTAACTTTTTTGATTGTACATTATTATTTTTGCAAACGTGTAATACAATAGATTCAGCCGATTTTTACTAAATATACGTAGGTATAATAAACATTAAATAGACCCGTGATACCGTAGCCAAAAGAAAACGTTAGGAATATGACGCCAAAGTATAAAAAACCAAAATTAAAAAAAAAAAAGACAAAACGATGATGCGATGCGATTAAAGTGAAAAAAAAAACACTATGACGGTGGTTTCACTCAGTSGATATTATGTGTGTGTGTCGGAGAAGAAACCCGGACCTACAAACCACGTTGAAAAAAAATCTAACCGCCATAGACACGTGAATTAACATTTTCGTATATAATATCGTKATATTATTATGTGCTATAAATTATTATGAAACATATTATTATGTACAGGGTGATTAGTTCAACCGGCAACGCTATTATTTTTTCAGAAAACGTTTTTATTTTCATAACATAAAATTATTTTTGTACAGTTTTGAGTATTTATAACACGAAATTTTGGCAAAGAAATCAAATTCATATTATGAATATTGTTCATTAGGATTTTCGGTAAACGTCGTCAAAAAATAAAATGTTTCAATCTTTCAAGAAAAATAATTTATAAACATTTTGACTTAAAATATAACAAATATGAGTAGTATTTTATGTAAGTAAAACAGGTACGCAATTAAAATATTAATGTGGGAATAACAGGTGCTACACATTACTGCACAGGCTACCCTGACCAGCTGGGTTAAGTATACCCTTTACACTTCACAATATTCGTATTTTCTACGCTTTAAATCCAAAAACAACTGCACATTGCAATAATTTTWATTTTATTTTTATAAGCCGACATTTTAAAGAGTTAAAATAAATGTATATTTTTTTTTTTTGCAGAACGTTACAATATATTTGATTTTTAATAACATTTAAAACGAGTAAAAACGCATTTTCTCTTTGAAAATCACATAACTATTAAGAGCCAAAAATTCAAACCGTTTACCCTGTAGGTATACACATCGTATAAAATAATGCGATGTTATATTAAAATAATAGAAAATGATGGTAAACCAACGGGTTTGCCTCAGACGCAATTCCGTCACGGCACTGTGTATCATATTATTATTTAGCCCGACGATCCGATTATTAATAATAGTAATACGTAATGACAGGCGCCTAAAAATATAAACGGTGCGAAAATATCGGATTACTAGCTGTGTATACCCCTAGACCGTGTTCTTGCGGGATTATAATTCAATTTTTTTATTTTATTTTTTTTAATTATGCGCGGCGCTCTCTCAGACTCAGCGTACACGTCTTGTCGTTTTATGAAATATATTATTTTATAATATTATTATTATGTAGGTACCTGCCTACGTGATAACGTGCGCRCGGTGACGCCGTCTCGTCGGTCCGTATATAATATATTAATATCGAAATATTCACCTCGAGGGACTTGAGCCAAGTAAAGATTAAAATTCCAAGCGTAAGACGAAATTTTCATTAATAAACGCCGTCGTCAAATATATAATATATATGTGACGTGTYCTGTTAGGTATAGATATATAACTTGGTATCTGCACCTCGTGGACTTATCTGCAGCTCCCGTTCATCACATACGATTTGGGCGAGGAAGTTCGATTTGAAAAAAAAAATATAGATTTACTGCGCGTTGTAAATTTATAATACCCATACGTGACGATTGAATAAAAGAGCTGATTCTAATTATTKTGYGGTTTGTTAGTACTTAATACCGTAATAGGTATACACGACATCATATTATACAAATTTTTCTGTATATATTGCTGACCTATATTTGYTTTACACCAACACCGCTTGGGCGTTATAAACTTTGCCCTCTATCATACGAAATACCTCAGATGAGGGCCATCTATAGTGTTCAATTTTATTTTTTTTTTCTATGGWGGGAGGAGGCTATGGAGATTATTTATTTACTCTTGTCTCCTAGACGTATCCGTTCGAGGCGGGGGTGGACTGACTATAGGGTGGTTATGTGGAAATCCCCACCGGCAMGGACTGATGAAAATTGAGATCGATATTTAGTAATAAGTAGACAATAATTATTGAGCTGGTAATGTATATATGTTTCCCGGAATGGCCGATTTATAGTCGCTGCTCGCCTCCGCTTGGAGGTATACTATAATGAAAGTCTTTGCTGTTGCAGTGCTCGCCCAAAGCACCAACCACTCTTATTAAAATAACTTTTGCATGTATACTTCTTCACAATATTCTTATGCGTACCTAAATTAATTTTAAGCAGGGTATCAGTTTTTCAATTTTTTATAAATAAATAACGACGGCGTTATATTTATGTGCATTTATCTTAACATTTAATTTACCTATAATCGTTGAAAACTAAATATATTTGTAATAAACCACGTGGTTCGGTAAGAAGTATAATCATCACGTGAAACTGGGCCACCACTACATATGCCGTCGATGAGTAGGTACTACCAATGA